GGGGAGGAGGAGAGAAGAGGGGAATGGGGGGGGAGGGGAAGGAGAAAGAAAAGGCGCAAGAGGAGGTGTCCACCCGAACCTGTCCTCGAGCTTTCTGGGGCTGCAAATGTCCATCCGGGGATCAGTGACCGGCCCCCGCTCCAACATGCCCCAGATGCACAATAATGCCAGTGCTCCCACTGCTCTGCTGCATCCGGTCCCTTCAGGACTGTCACGCCCTTGCTCTGGGGCTGCCTGGGTACCTGGGCTGGAACAGTTTTCTGCAGCAGGCCAAGGCCACCTCCTCCCGAGGCTCAGCGGAGAGGGCCGGGCTCTTCCACGTTTCCCTAGCCCGAGAGAGGGGGCGGGGGGCTCCTGCACGGCTGGGCGGGAGGGCGCCTTCCAGGCCGCTCTTGGTTAGAGGTGGGCTCCTCAGCACCCAAGAGACCTCTGCAGGCAGGCAGGGCTCGCCCGTCAGGCCCAGACCTCGGCCTGCCGCTTCCTAAGAGCCAGAGCCAGAGCTGCGCGGCTGCTGGCTGCTGGCTGCTCCCAGCTCCCAGCTCCCAGCTCCCAGCTCCCAGGCCAGGCTGCTCCCCCTCCTCCGGGCTAGGCGCGGGGCGGCGGGCAGCTGCGGAGAGAGCAAGGGGCTCCCGGTCACCACTCAGCGCCTAACCTGGACTCCAGACGGACCCCTGAAAATCACCCCGAGTCAACAGGATGCCACACACACTGCGCTTGGACCCAGATCCCAGCGGAAGTGAAGCAGAAACAGGGAAGACCCACATCCGGTCATGGTGGCTAGGTGTCTCTGGGGCTAATCACAAGGGCGAGTCTTTAAAGGGACACACTGTTTTGCAGTCAATACTCCCTAAGTCCTCAGTTTAACATCACACATACCTGGGATTCCTCCCTTTACCTCCTGAATCTCACAGCCTCCAAACCAAGCCCATACTTCACTCGGTCCCTGCAGAGGAAATCAGCTCACGTCACACAGCAGGGGCGGAGCTCTGTGAAATTTATTTTAGGGACAGGCCCTCTCATCAGCAACCATTTAATTTCCACCTATCCAGTTGTCATTTGTACATATTTTTAGACTTGCTGGCCTTTTTGTATATACAACGTGGAATACTATTTAGCCATAAAGAAGAAGTTTATGATTGGAAAGTTTGAGGACAGGGTGGATAATGGGAGGCTGTATTTGATACGTGCATGTTGTATGCATGTGGTGAAATGTCAGACTGAACCTCATTAGTGCATGTAGTTAATATATGTTAATCAAAACCAAAGTAAAATAAATATTTCTTTAAAACATTACACAACTTACTCTTCATCATAATGCTTACAATTAATAATGCCCATCATAGTCTATGATTTAGCGAGTACCTGCTGAGGATCAAATACTATCCTCATTGGAATTGTCACTAAAGTAAGCCTGACATAAGGACCTAGAAGGTTATTCCTACAAGCAAGAGTGCAACATGGCACAGGGACAATGAGACAGAGAAAGAAAAAAGGTTTTACTTTGTGTGACTTAATTCTTTCTACTCAGGTGGCACGGGAATTGAGAAAACAATAAATGGAGGTTGTATAGAAGGGCGATTCCTACATGAGGCATAAAGTGTACAAGCCAAACAGGACAATAATTGACTCAAGAAATACCAAGAAAAACAAGAGTGACATTTTAAATTGTGACAAACATAACAAATAACCTAAATTTCTTCAAAGGAATAATGGTTACACAATAATGGTACACTCATTTCCTAATACCATGCGATCATTAAAAGCAATTTTGTAGGGTAGCATTTTTCAAACATCTTGGTCTCAAGATGCTTATATTTTTAACAAATGTTATGGACCCCCCCCCAAAGAGCTTCTGTTTAAGAAGATTATATTGATTGCTATTTACCACTTAAGAAAATCAACTGAAAAATATAAAATAGTTATTTAATAATTCGCTTTTAAATATAAGATTTCTAAACCCATGAAATATGAACCTAAATAATACTTTATGAATCAATATATTTTCAAAGTGAAATACAATTAAGGAAAATGGCATAGGACCAGGGATTTAGCTCAGTGGTGCTGCCACTGGCCTCTCAAGCGCAAGGTCCTGAGTTCATCCCCAGTACCAAAAGAAAAAAAAAAATGACATTGATTTACATTTTTCCAAACATCTTTAATGTTTAATAGAATATAATTAGATTTTTATACTGCTTTTGCATTTTATCTGTAATA